TACCTCAAAAAGATACGTCTAATCCTCTCTTCACAAACTTTATGCGACATTAAGTCCGTGTCCAGCCCTCTCGAAATGCAAGAGAGCTTTAAGGTAGTACAAAATTGTCTGCAAGTTTATTTTAGTTGCCAAAGCTGGTGACATGTGCAATCTGCCCACTAAAGGTTTCTCGTAACAATTTAAAAAGTGCATCTAAGCATAAAGGCTTACAGCAGGACCAAAGCCAATTGCGTAGGTATGGCTTTCCCATATGCACTGGTGGCGCTTTCTGGCAATATATCCTCTTCGTGGATAGTGGTGGAAGTGCAGTCGTACAGGACAGGGATCACAATGAACATCTGGGATATCAAAATCATGTAAAGCAACCAGAAGGTACCCCAGCGACCTGTTTGCTTGGCATTATAGAGTTATTTCCAGATTTTGGCTCGCTTAAGCATCCCTTTTACGTGCATTGGGTGAAAATACAATTTTTGTTTATATACCTTGAACATTGTTAATCTCAACGCATCTGCACACACAGCTTTAAGGTATTCTGTTGTTATTCAAAGGAAAATAATACAAGCTCAAGACCTGTATTTTGAGTAGACATCCTTATGAAATAACACTTTTCCCACCAAAACGTTGTTGATTGAAAAGTTGCAAATATTGACGATTGTGTCAACAGAAATCCCACTCCCACAGAAGTCCAGGCAATGTAACTCTCACGTGTGCTTAGTGAGCCCCAATGTTTACATATAAATTATCGTCGTGCCCCCGTCTTTCCTTCTTGCATTCAACACCTCTTCTGGTCAGCAACTGAAGAAACGACTAACACCACGCCTACACACATAATACGGCACTATGGTCGGAGAACTTCACAAGAACAACACATTCTATCTGGTGACCGGTGCAGATCAAGGTAATAAACCCCCAGTTCTGCGCGACCGAGAGGAATGCTACGATCGTACCGTCGTGTTGTGTTGCCAGTACTTCCGGTGACCAAAGGTTTGAATCTGAAAATGGCTTGAAGTTGGCATCGGCCTTGGATTAGTTGAGTCTTTACTTCGGAAACCTCGGATCACTGTTGTGGTAAGCCATTCTTTGATGTGTGCCCATGACAGAGGCTGGATACTTCTTGTTGCAGTACAGATGATACCCACCTGCCTTGCGTCCATCCACTGACTGATAACAACTACTTTAGACTACGGTACGTGTTGAGGAAAAAGTGCCTGAAGAAGAACCAAATCGGAAGCCTACATATCAGGCCGACGGATGTATCGGAACTCGTAATAGAAGATCTCAACGCTTTCGGCCATGTGAGCTTCTCGACCAAGTCCATTTCAGCGATCACTGCATTATTAGGAGTTGAAAGAGACCACTTTGCTTGTTCTACGAAGAATATCTCAATTGCTTTGCTCGGCATCATTCTCTGCGACCTCAGGGTTGGGCGGGGGGAGGGTTGACTCCCAGAAAGAAATCCTGCAAAGTGATATGCCGAAGAGTGGGAATGCAAAACGTCGCATAAAACTCCTATCCTTTGTCCACGCAGAATAACACAAGTCCAACGATGTTATATTTGCAATTCTGTTCTGGCTAAATCTCCAAGAAGACGTGGAGTCTGCCAGGTTGATTTAGAAATTTGGAGATGGATAAGCTTCGAGTATCAATCGGGTTGAATCACATGGAAGCAATTCCGTTACAAGCTGGGTAAACTGTGAGGTAAACAAATCTATGGTAATTTGAGCACGAAGTTATTAACTAAGAAAACTACAAACGTTATATACTAAGAGGTTCCTCCTTGCGAGCACTGCGACCTCGTCTCGCATGTCTCGCAGTCACGTGATATTGTCCATTCTGTGAAAACTCAGGCTCGTTTCCTCCTGTAGGTAACCGCACTGTAGTATATACAGATTGTTTTGCCCAAGGCCCTACTGTGACAGAGTCGTTGAGCCTAAGGTCCTTGGTAACGTGATTCCTGGATCGTGACAAACGATGCCGAGAATATTATACAGCGGCTGCCGATGACAGGAGTCAAGCCACATATAGGTACTTCGGTTAACAGGTTGAAGAAGTCCGGGCTAGAGAACTACAACGACGACATAATGTATAACGAGAAGCTAGACTATCCCCTAAGGCATCGAAAGAGCAAGTATGTTTCTACTGAAGAGCACGAGAATACTATAGCCGAATGGGAAGACGTCAAGCCGCACGACGTCGAGTACGAACCGAAAGGGAATTTGATGGCCCAGATATATTATCAAGATCGGCTTCTTCCTATCTATTGCGAGACAGTCAAGCGTGCACACAAGCGTGATCCTTCGATTCAATGGCTACTGCAAGAGGATAACGATCCGAGTCACGATATTCTAGGTTTAACTATAAAAGGAAAGAGCGTTCCGAGTATCTATATTATGTGCAGCGCGAGCGCGAGATACAAACGCTTTATCATCCAGCATAAAGCCCTGATTTGAACCCGATTGAAGGTTGCTGAGCTATACTTAACAAAGAGCGAGGAAGCGGCCATGGAATACTGTCGAGGATCTGAAAGAGATACTCGGGGACGAATGGAACAAGACTACTATAGAGGAAGTAAGGGTACAAATAGTAGAGATGTCTGAACGCTGCAAAGGATTAATTAGAGAAGATGGCTGGCCAATTCGCAGCGATTTGCGGTAGTTACTTGGATGAGAATACCATTTGTGACATGCTTGGTTGATTAGTCATTCAAACCGATTTCCTGAACCAACTGTTGCATGTTGTCATGAGCTCTCTCAATTACTCCCTTGCCTTGTAGGTATTTGTGTTCACAAGTCTGAGTTACACAAGGGCATTTCTATATACTACGACTATAAGCCTGCTGATTCCCTTCTACGCTGAAGATTATCCCACTCTTCTGCTGCTACGAAGCACCACGCATGCCACTCTATCTACCAAGCACGCAATTCTTCCGCACACTATCAGCCATCAGGATTTCAAGATCGCTTTTCAGCCCAGCAACACATATCCGGGTCATGGCTTCCGCAGCAATGTCCAAACGCCTCGCAGGCAGGACCATTTTGATCACCGGAGCTTCGTCTGGCATCGGCAAGAGCACAGCCATCGAGTTTGCTCGTACTTCGCCCAAAAATCTGCGTTTGATCTTGACTGCGAGACGAATCGATACGCTGAAGGAGGTCGCACAGGAGATACAAAAGGAAGTTGGAAATGGAGTCAAGGTTCTGCCATTTCAATTGGATGTGAGCGCTCCAGATGACGTGAGGAGCTTCGTAGGCAAGCTGCCCGAGGAGTGGAGGGAGATTGATGTCTTGGTGAACAATGCGTATGTCTAGCGAACTGCCATATTGAAGTGTCACTCACAATTGGTAGGGGACTTGTCAAAGGTGTTGCCAAAGCACCCGAGATCGAAGAAGCAGACATCAATGTCATGTTCGCTACCAATGTTACCGGCTTGATTAACATGACACAAGCTGTGCTGCCAATTTTCAAGAAGAGAGCAGACGGTGGAGCCGGAGATATTATAAACATTGGCAGTATTGCTGGCCGCGATCCATATGTCGGAGGAAGCATATACTGTGCGACAAAAGCTGCGGTTCGGAGTTTTACCGACTCTTTGAGAAAAGAGCTGGTTGCTACTCGTATTCGGGTCATTGAGATTGACCCTGGTCAGGTCGAGACTGTAAGTATCGGCATATGGCTACGACCTCAGCTTGCTAACGTGAACAGGAATTCTCCGTCGTCAGATTCTATGGTGATAAGGCGAAGGCTGATGCTGTTTATGCGTAAGTTTGTGGGCTGAATTCTTCGTCACATTCTAATACAAGCAGTGGGGGCGAGCCCTTGACGCCAGATGATATTGCCGAAGTGATTGTTTTCGCTGCTGGGCGAAGAGAAAACGTGATTCTGGCTGATACACTTATATTTCCTCAACATCAGGTCTGTTTTTTCTTCCAACGTATTATTCAATGCAAAAATTGACGTAAGTAGGCATCACCGACAGTTATGTACAAGAAATCATGAGTATATAGACTCTGTTGAGTATGGATTCGTTCCGCACCATCTACTCTACGTTTTTTCAATGCCACTATTATCTATGCGTAGTTCAGAACATGGAACGGCTTCATGTAACCAGAAAGCGTTCGGTTCTCTCGAATTTCGTTGGTCTCGGCTGTTACGGACATTTCAACCGTCCACAGTGGTAAATCTCTGGCAATGAATAGTTTCGACGTCTCCATGCCACCGCTCTAATCCGTGATTTTATATATCAACAGAGAATATCCGATTTGAACGGATGTGATTTATTAAAACAAAAAAGTTTCAAGCTTGTAGCAAAGTCGGGTCGCCGTGGCCATATCTCCATCCGTCTTTATCCCTGTAACCAGCAAGTCTCACCCAAATCTCCGTTGATTTGCTCCAGAAACGAATTGCAACTTCCATCCGCAAAATCCTGATTATGGCATGTGATTGTCTCCAGTACGTTCGGAAAGCAATATTGGACCATATACAAATATGTTGCTAGCTGGCACCGGTCCGACAGGTCTCGTTAGAATTCGGCAACTGATACATGGGCACCTGGGTGCCCATTTATCAGTTGCCTGTGTTAACAAGCAGTAGTATATATGAAACTTCAGGATTGGAGCTCACCTCGAAGTCGGTAAAAGCCCCTTTGAAAGGACTTTAACAGTAATCCACATCCTATAAGACGTATCTCATGTTGATATTCCTGTGTAGCCCTCTTTCTTGTAGTCATTTGTGGTTGGCTTACAGTATGTGGGGCTGTACTTAGAATTCCTTTCCAGGTTATAGAGCTCAAATACGATTTCAGTTAACGATAGTCTATTATAGAGAGCAGGTCAATAGATAGATTTGTCAATCATATGCATCAAAGATGACCAGAAAAAATAAGTTTAAAACAAAGAGTCGTTGATAAGGAAAAGATAGATGATTCAAGACCACTGTTGACTTCTGTATCTAATAGTATATAATAAATTTGTCAAAATTTGTCATCTTAAATAGTCACACTTGGTTGTATAGTGTAGCGGGTTAGTATAGTCGTTATCTCATATATCTACACATACTAATGTTAACAGTTAGCACGTGGGTTTTTGAGGAGAGAGCAATTCTCTAATGCTTATTATACCTGAATCCTGGGTTCGAGCCCCAGTACGACCTGTCTTTGTTTGGTCATGATTGTACTTATCACTTCGATCTTTTGGCATTCTGCATAATACATACAAACAGCTGCCCTTCTTTTTTTTACTTAGCTATATAGTCAGTATCCCATTGGTTCAACTCCGTATAAGCTTCCGCTTTTAGTGCGATGTTGTTGATTGGTCAAACGTCCTCGTTGAGGCTATACTCCACATAGTCCACCCTCGTCGCTTAAGGCACCAGGCAAGCCTTTTTGCAGCATGTTTCGGTGTCAACATCGGCCGCCTCTTAGCTTTCCAATTTGCGATGCCATGCTCTGCGAGAATCATGGTAATAACTTTGAGCATGTGAGCGAACAAGCCGTTTTCACCTCCGCATGAGTGTCCTTTGGGTATAATCGAACATAGCGAAGGAGAAGTCGCTCATCAGCATCAGTATATGACTTCCCCCGAGGGGCTTTCGATATAGATTTGCCTTCGTTGAGTTGTTTCTCGACTGCAATGGTGTAATTCACAGTGCCGCGATCGAGTTTAAGGTCCTTGGCGATCGCAGTAGGTCACCCGCCTGCCAGAGTGAAGCCTATAATTTTTTCTCTTTTGGTATGGAGTGAGATGTGTTCGAACTTGTCTATTTCCACCACTCGCCCTTAAAGGAGTTCGTTGTGGTGGCATATTGGTGTTGTACTATAAAGGTTGTAAGACGGAGGCTCGTGATTTTTCGTGATTTTCACGATTTCGGTCAACAGCTGTTACATCTGACTGCACGAGTACATAAATACTGTACTACGGAATCCAAGCTCTGTTGAAAAGCTACATACAGGACATATCAAACCCAAATCTCCAATTTCTCACCCGAAGTGACAAAAACACCGTACCGCCAGGTACGATGAAAAGACGATCAAAGTATACCAAGCATATAGTCCAGCAATCGCGACTGCTGCAGTACAAAACCAGAAACTGACAGCTTCACCCGAGTTTTGGGGATCTCGAATGGCATGGATCTAGCCCTCTTCGTGTTGGATGATGTATCGGTGCGTCCACTCTCATTCTCAGAACTCAAGACTGAAGACTGAAGATTGAAGAGCTAACAGTGCATCAGGTCGGGATACTCACTCAAAGCTCCTCGATAGTCTCATATTCTCGCTTTTAAAATGGAACGTGAGTACTTCCGCAAGCTGTTCCTCAATGCCGTCGTAACGTATGACGAAATACTTAGAGCGGACGAACGCAGCAAAGCCGTGCGTGTTCAATGGTAAGATATCTGCTCTGACACCCCTTCGTACTGCTGAATTGTGGTGTAGGAATCCTGAAAGTGAACCTGCATTGGAAGTCTTCCCTTATCGTAGTATCCAGATCGTATTGGACCGGCGCTGAGTAGGACATGGGCGGAAGAGTGGATTGATGGGGTTGAAGATATCACGGTTCGAGCTCTTGCATTGCATGATGCTGTGGCGAGAGAGGCGTATGAGAAGCTGGTGGAGAGTGGGTTGGTGCCTGTGAAAAGAATGTATAATGTTGATGAAGAACTGAGAACAGTACTGAATATGGATGAGACTCTCTAGATGATCAAATAAAGTTGCGATACATCATTCTCTCAATAACTGCCTTACAACACAGAGACAACTGACTGCTAGTACACGGGAGGGAGATCATAAAACCCAGAAACATGTCCGTAGTGGAAATAACCAGAATTGTAAATGAGATGTTGACAGCTTTTATTGTGTGTAGCTGGAATCTAGCCTTGCAATACACTACTGCCTTTATTGGTAAAAACAGCCCATGAACCTGAACGCCAGCGCTAAATCCATCAAATTCATATCCAATTTAGTCAGTTCCTATCGTACGGTCTTCCTCCCAGCTAACCCTGTTTTGAGCCGGTTGAGGGACGTGTACGAAGTCTTCTCCATCAAGTCTCCTACTGCCCCATGGTGCCAGTATGTTCTGGACCCGGGCCTCCGTTCTCGAGCCTGGCACATACCGGCCATCGTCTGTGGGTATACCTGGCTCGCTGTCTGCGGCTTAGTTATCGCGGCTGTTGTACAGATCCGCATTTTCGATTTCTGTTTAAATGCTTCCTAGCGAGCTGTCTTGCGGATCTGAAATACCAGAGCTGTCTGTCTGTAGGGTTTGGCCGCCTGGCCCAGAAAGCTGCGGTACTGTTCGAGGCAGTTCAACACCTTGAGGTAATTTACCTGCGTAGGCCACGTTGGACGAATTTATGCATGCATGCGCTGGTGGATGTGCATTCATGGGATAGATAGATGACGATTCATGATCTGGGCTGGTTGGTGATGGGATACCCTTGCTCATAGTCAGAGATCCAGCAGAGTCTGCTCCAACGGGAATGGCCAATGGACTCTCCAGATCCGGTATCTCGTGTGAAGGTGGCTGGTAATGTGCAACTTGGCCAGCATCATTCTCGGTCTTCCCCGATGAGCAAGCGTTCAGGTCTCTTTGAGCTTGCGCTGCAGCAATCTGTTGACGCTCAGGTTTCCTCCTTACCCGCTCGTAAGCAGATATGTTTCCAGAATCTTTGGTTGACGACCCATGTTCCGTAGTGTCATCAAAGATGCCGTCTTTACTGTCTAATTCAGCAGGAGCCTGTGACGCGGGAAGTTCGAATCATTCATGTGTAGCATCATCTCCAACTTCGGCTGAATAGTTACTGTCACTGTTAGCCTCGAATACCTTAGCTGGCCTCCTTCTCCAAATACTGTTCAGGAAAAACCATGGGGTTGTGACTTCAGGCTTCTTGTCATCTGCTCCCCGTTTGGTTCGATGAAGGCGGCGACAGAGAAGAGCCAAAGCCAAGATTGCCGCAGCATTGACTACCGAAACTGGGAACGCAATTATTGCTCCAGTTGATAATTTCGGCCCGCCATCTTTCTTGCCATTCTTCGCCAACGGGGGACTTCCAAACGTCGTGTTTGACGGCTGCGAGATCGGACTATGTTGAAATCCTGTATAGCAGACCATGGGTGAACAGCTTGATGAACGGAAAACATGTTCTGCTCATAATCCGTAATTAAATATGCCTTTTGCAGAAATGCACGCCCAATAGTGTATTGCTCTTCGTTCAAGGCTTGACGAGGCGGGAAGTTGTATTGCGTAGAATTAGCAGCACCGGCGATAGTGCTGGGGATTGCAGGAAAGGTCAACTGAAGATCAAATGCTGCATAAGACAATGTTATATTCACAATGTCCAGCGATACGGATAAGTTCAAGAGACTGAATGTAAACGTAAGATTGGACCCGGCCAGAACATCTCGTTGCGATCTGTTGCCAGGAAATACATAGATGTTGAGTAATGTATCATAGATCAGTCCGAGAGCGCTAGCAAAACAACCACAAGCTGGTTTGGACAGTCACAAATACGGTATTGAACTGTTGATAACAGCAGAGACTCGGTGAGACGAAAAGACCAGGTCAGTAGACGAGCTCGAGTTCTGCACGGAAACCGCGTAAATGAAGACTTCAGGATACTGGCTTGGATTCAACGTGAAAGTTGTGTTGTGTGGGACGAAGCGATTGTAATCATAGCCTCCAAGTGTCAGAGAATTGACGACGCCTTTCTCTCGAAATTTTGCACGGCATTATATCCATAACTGTGGCTCGGAATTGTATCTTCCTGCTCTTTTGAAGCACTAATTGCGCTGAGTATCAGAGTGTTGTTGAAACTTCCTGGAACAATTCCTAGTCCAAAGAATCCGAGCAGAAAAGTAGCGTTCAGCGATTCTGTCGTGTTGAAAGACCCGATAGTTGAATTTGGCAGACTTCTTCCCGTCGTTCCAAATGTCATTACGTCCAGCCTATATTCAGCACACCCGGTATTCCCAAGTTGTTTATCAACGCCCAAGTCGTAGAAGCCCTGATATCGCCGTGTCGTCGACTGTGACAACGTGAATACCACCGCGGATTAGCGCGCAGTCGGTTGGATTACTAGGGCATCCGCCATTTCCTATGACTCGTCTCACTGGAAACAGTAGACACATGACATCAGCCCATTGCGACGGCATTCCAATTCGAAGAGCGATCGCAGACCAATCGCCATCATTACCGTACCTGCAAGATGTCAACTGCTATCGTTGTGATTGCGGAAAGCAAATCACCAATAGAGCGAGGGCTTTAAGGAAGAAGGAACACAGCAGATCGCGATCTGCACAACCAATGCTGCAATGAGTCCCACCCGCCTCAAAAGTGACAGCATATCTAAGGGAGCGGTCGCATTTATCTTTATGGTATGGAAGATAGGCGAGACAGTAGAGTCACAAACGGTCGGAGGATGATGCACTGTGGAAGGAGATGTTCACAACTGTCACGTATACAAAGCAATGTTGCTTTGGCACGGCAGTCCCAAACTTGCGCAATACTATATGATTGGAGTGATTCAAGGCAGGATTTAGGCATATTTCCTGGGGAAGTTAGTGTGTGCTGGTTACCTAGGCTTATATGATAGGTCATCCATGCTCTCCATGCTCTTGGGAGGAAGAATCAAATGAAGGTCTCACGAAGACTCGAAGAGCTTTTTCCGATGGGATGGGGTGGGATAGGATGGCAAAATCTCATTCGGTCAACCCGAGCTCCAAACAAGCGGTTATGGACAGTAAGGGGCAAAAGTGTCGACGAAACGTCAGCTGAACAGCAGAGGGTGTACTGCCATTTCGAAGCTGTACACGACTTGTGGCTTGAACTGTAAAGGGCCACTCGTAATTGATCAACTTTCGACAAACATACAATGCACTTTGGGGGCGCAATTCAACAAATGATCTTTCCGTCGCTTCTCCATGTCCTTGAAAGATGAACGCCAGGTCTGGAGGCTTGGTAGGAAACATGTACTGATGCGGTCGCTGATAGGCTTTCGAATTTAGAAGGAGAGTTGTCTATGGCTTTGCAGATTTCCATGCAATAGCAACATGCCATGCTAAGCTCCTTCACCATGAGCATCTACAATAGTCACAATCAGTAGACTGTCATTCGCTCTCCTGCTCCTTCTCGAAGACGTTGGCGACAGCACGGCACAAT